GGCCTTCCGCGGATCGGCGCGCTGACCACGCGCGGCGACACAATCGACACCGCGCGCCTTTCGGCCGCGTCGGCGGAACCGGGGAGCCTCGCACTGCGACGTCGACGACACGTCGACGGCGACGTCGACGCTCTCGCGGCACCGGATGGCCGCCGCCTTTGTCCGGTACGCCACCGCCGTCTCCGTCGTCATCGTCCACGTCGTCGCGAGGGACCGCGAGGCTGACACAAGAAGAAGTCGCCGGCCGCGCACCACGTCGGCGCTGCGTTAAAAAGCCCCCCTCCCCTTCCCTCCCTCTCTCTCTCCTTTTCAAGACCTTTTTAGTTTTCCGCTCCGGACCACTAGTCCGTTAATTAGACTCAGTTGGAGCTGCTGTGTTGGAGCTCTGCGCGCGTGTGAGTGAGTCCGTGTGTGTGTGTGTGTGTGTGTGTGTGCGAGGACCTAGCTGCCACCCGTCCGCCCCCGCCCCCGCCCCCTGGCCCGGGTCGGGGCCCTCAGCGTGTCTCCCGCGCGCACACAGGACCGGCAGCGCTAGCGCCGCCAGCAGGCCGCCTTGGAGGAGGACGTCAACTCCGTGGGAAAAGTCTTCATCTAGGGCAGACTGGGCAGACACTGCTCCGAACGGAGTGCGGAGGGAGCGCGGCGTGGCGGCACGGCCGGCACGGCAGCTCGAGCCCCGTCCGCCTCATCCCGGCCGAGGCGGCGAGGCGAGGCGAGGCGGTCACCGCGTCGCGGTAACACTGCCCCATTAGTGCCAACGTGCCAACACGACGTCTTTTTTCGCAAAATGCAAAAATAAAAACGGAACGAAAAACGACGACGAGGAGGACGGGCGGTGAATTCTCCCGGCGAGGAATTCCCTCGAGATTGCGATGAATGGGCGCGGCGCGCGGCGAGGTTCTTCTTGCCGCGGAGCGCGCAATTAAAAAAGCATCAAAGTTGAAATATTTTTTCAAGCGAGGCAAAAAGGAAGAGTGGCGAACAGTCTACCACGACCATGGGTACGGCGGTGGAGGATGTCGAGGCCCAGGGCCCCGAATCTTCCCTCAAACACATGTGTCGTCGTCTGGGCTGGTCTGGGCGGGCACGACGAACGCGTTCCCATCACCTTATAAATTGCTGCAGCGCTGCAAAGGGGCAAAAATTGCATCTGACCTACCCTGAAAAAACGGTTCCACGAGGATCTGGGGCATTCTTTTCAAATCCGCATATCTAGTCACAGAGACACACTGCGGCAGGCGGTTTTCGTCGTCTCTGTCGTACTCACAGAGCGTTCCGTGAGTCGGAGAGAGACAGAGTCACACCTGTTGCACGTGGCCGCCCCCTCCACATGGCTTCCTTCACACTTGTTGTCACTCATCCCCCCCCCCTCTGAAACCGAAGCAGGGCCGGCGACACGAGACGCCCCCGCGGAGACGACGAGGATGACGGCGACGGCGACGCGGCGCGCAAAGGGCCTTATCGGCGTCGACCTCGGCGTCAGCACCACGCCGTCAGCACAGGAAGGACGGGTCGCATTTAGAAATGCAGCGCGGACAGAGATCCGCAGCGTCAGAACGTCTTAGAGAATAACAAGAACAAATCAACAGATAGCACAGCACGGCCCGGCACAGCCGCACACTGCGTAGCGTAATAATGATAATCTCCGCTTGCTGCCTCTCGTCCGGCGTCCCTCGTTTCGCGGGCCTGCAGAACGACGCTCGTCCACCGCCAGCCTTCCAGTGTAGCGGCGTTCCAGCGTTCCAGGCGGGATGCCGGGGCATTCCACCTTCCAGCCTCACGGCCTGCACGGCCACACCTGCACTGTTGGGGCAGCGCGGCGGTACGCGGCGGCCGGCAAGCCCATTTCATCAACCAGCAGTCACCGCACTGCCAGCCGCCGAGCAAGACGAGCCGCACACCAGAGCCTCCTCAATGAGAGGGCGAGACAGCGCTTCTGTCGACGGGATAGGCAGCCCGCCTGGCGCGAGAGAGACAGTCTCGACTTGACTTGAGAGGCTGGACCGCAATTGATGGTGTGCCGTTTCGGGCCCGGCGCTGCATAGACGTCAATGTGACAGGCCGCAGTAGACAAAGAGGGTGCTCCAGCAGACTTGCTCCGAGGGCCGTTCGCGTCGCTGTCTCTCTCGCACCTACAGGGTAGGCCGAGAGAAACGTCTCTTGCAATCAGTCTGCTGTCGATATCCCATTCGCGAGGTGGCGAAATAAACTGATGGACTCTACATGTACAGACGAGCCAAATTTTAACCCCCGCATTGATTACTACATGGAAGAGCCAGCGAGCAGCCAGTCAAGCAGCCAGCCAGCGGCCAGCCCCTGGCAGTGCCGCGAGTGGCGGTGCAGCTAAATGGCGAGCTGTTCCATGAAAGGACTTTGTTGGCAGAAAACGGCGCGCCGCGTGACAGTCTGACAGTGCGCCGTATAAAACAAAAGCCGCGACAGTCCGGTCGAGGCGAGGCGAGTCCGTCGCCGAGCCGAGGATGGCCGAGGAGGCAACCGGTAACACGAGAGCAGAAAGAAAACAAGTGCAGTGCGCAGCCTGGCGAAGCCTGGCGCAGCCTGGCGCAGCCACCTGAGTTTCGCGAGGAGGCCGTCGAGGAGGCCGTCGAGGAGGCCATCGGGGAGGCCGTCGAGGAGGCCGTCGAGGAGGCCCTCGAGGAGGCCCTCGAGGAGGCCGTCGAGGAGGCCGTCGAGGAGGCCGTCGGGGAGGCCGTCGAAGAGGCCGTCGAGGAGGCCGTCGGGGAGGCCGTCAAGGAGGCCGTCGAGGAGGCCGTCGAGGAGGCCGTCGAGGAGGCCGTCGAGGAGGCCGTCGAGGAGGCCGTCGGGGAGGCCGTCGAGGAGGCCGTCGAGGAGGCCGTCGAGGAGGCCGTCGAGGAGGCCGTCGAGGAGGCCGTCGAGGAGGCCGTCGAGGAGGCCGGGCACCCTGGACGAACCCGACTCTCGGCATCAGTCTGCAGGAGGCCCGGTGCGATTCGCGATGCGCCCATAACACGCGACGACGTCAGAGAGTCGGACAGCGTGGAGTCGCCCCCGAAAAGTTTGGGGCCGCCTCCTCCTCCAGCCGTGTTTGCCCGCTGCTGCGGCTTTTTACGGCTCGCATAAAATTCCGTTGCCAGCTACTTAAAAGAGATAATTTTATGCGTTACGCCGCTTTAAACAACGCGGCGGGTCGTCGACGGCGCCGTCCTGGAGGAAGCGGAGGACGTGGAGGAAGGGAAGGTGTCCACGACTCTGCCTCCGGTCACCGCTGCACCCGAATCCAAATCTCTCTTTTCCAAACGACACGCATGGAGGTGCTTGTTGTACTGGTCTTTGTCTCGGCCTCGGCCTGCCTCGGCGCCGCCGAAATGGAGGGCGTTTAGGGCCAACCTCACTCGACGGCGTGCGGCGTGGCGCGCACTCGGCGGGGGCCACGCCGCCACGCCGCGACGCCACGCCGCGATTGGTCGTAAAGCTGCGGAAGTCGTAGCCAGCAGCCAATCAGGGCGATGGCGCGATTCGGACGGCGACTCCGCGTCAGGAATAATAAAAATAGGGGCCTGCAGAGTGAAAAGAGAGAGAAAGAGGGAGGGCTCGTCCGGACCGTCGTCCTGTCGCCTCATTCCGAAAGATCGTTTCGTCGCTCTGTCTCTCTCGCACTCGTGGGGCGGCCCTTGGGGGTGCGAGAGAGACGAGTTAGGCGGCTGCTGGGTTATTGCTAGCGACCCAGCTAGCTAGCTATTGCACGCCCGTCCTGCCCGTCCCCGTCCTGGACAAGCTGGTGCAGCCCAGTGCAGCCTGCACTGCAGCCTCACGACGCGGAGCCCTACCCCGCCGCCCCGCGGACCGAGACCGCGCGGCCACTAGCTAACCACCGGTCCCAGTTTTCACACGGATGTCATATACGCGCCACGCTCGCTGGTCGTTGGCCCGCGCCTGCACCGCCTCCATCCTCCATCCTCCACGTCGTCGTGGAGGCCGTGCCACTGGTGGACAGCCTGCGATTCCAAAGGCTGGAGCGAGCCTTCGATTATGATGATGATGATGGTGGTCTTCTAGTCGTGGATGACACCGCTCGCCTTCCGGAAAACTGCATGATGACCATGCGGTGACTCGGTGACTCAGCCACACTTCACCGCGCCCTCGCCAGGAAGGGGCGGAACTGGAGCAGAGGGTGGCGTACGGCCGGAAAGGGGCTGAATCAGCCGGTGACGTCATTCGTCGGGGTTGGAGTAAGCGCCAAGTGCCAGGTGAGCCACCGGGGGAGCCACAGTGGCTGTCTCATTCTAGTGGTACTTTGAAGTGGCACCAGTGGCGCCCACAGAAATTTCCTTTAGGGGGAGCGACTGATTTCCAGCCCCTTACAACTCCCTATTTTCCCTTCTCTTCTTTTTCCTTTTCTTTTTTCCTTTTCTTCCCCTCTCCTTTTTCTCCCCTTTCCCTTTCTCTTTTCCCCTTCCCTCACCCACCACCGCAACCACCCACCCACCCCAAACCAGGGTCTGCGCTGCACCCACGTGTTGGCGCCACTGAGTGGCACTTTATTGTCGCACCCAATATCGCGGACCCCTTGACCCCTAGATAGCGCGAAAAGCAAGTAGGACTCCGGGCGTACAGGTCTGAACCCGCACGCAGGTGCCCGCGCCATGCGTGTCGCGGACTTGGCGGCCGCCGCCGAGACACAGTCTGGACACAGTCTGGACACAGTCTGGACACAGTCTGGGTCTGGACACAGTCTGGACACAGTGCAGCAGGCTGATGCCGCCGATCCGCAAAGTGCTTTCGTCTCCCCGTCTCTCTCGCACTCACGGGGCGTTCCGTAGGGGTGCGAGAGAGACAGCGACGAAGCGAGTAGTGAGAGTATGGCATAGATAAGGGTGACCGCTCGTCCTTGAGAGTGTATGAGTCAACACGCCCCGGTGTGGCGTCTTTGCCAACCTGCGCCGTAAGACTGCACACTGCACTGTACTCGGGCAGGAACGAGCCCGACGGCTGCCAAGGGTGGATCCAGGATCGCTTACCTCTCTCGTCCACGAGGCTGTAGGCGGCGGGCAGCAGGACCAGGACGAGCACCAGCACCCCGGCGTGCAGCCACGGGGGGCGGAGCCGGCGAGGAAGTAATCCCACTGGCGGCGACATGGCCGACGACGAGGACGCACACTGCACCTGGCGTCGCGACGTCACACACGACACACGTCACTGGCACTTGACACAACACGTCGCACTCACGCCCTCATGCACACCGCAGCCGCATGCAGACACTGGGGCGGCCACGACTGGCCGCGGGAAGCACAATAACACAGGTTCACACACACACTGGACACTCGCGCGCGCACTATCGCGATAACCCGATAACCGCAATAATAGCGCTATCGCTCTTGTAGTCCCACTGACGCACAGATCGGGCAGGGTTCAGCCCCGCGGATACCTGGCGGTGGCGCGGCCGCTCGCGCACGCCCGCACTGTCATGACGACGCGAGAAGCGACAACTCCAGACCGGCAACGACACCGGCGACGGCGACGGCAACGGCAGGGCGTACGACCGCCGTCCTCCCGCGGCACAACACTACTGCTGCAGTCAGCGAGCCGCTCTCCACCCGCCCCGCCCCGCCCCGCCTTGGGCCCCGCCGAGCCCGCGAGGCGCTCCACGCCGCCGCTCCACGCGCTCCTCGAGAGGTCCGTGTGGGGAAGGGGAAGGACAAGGCGCTAGAGCAGCGAGCACACTGGAGCACACCACACCAGCGACGCGGGAAAGCGGCGCCCCCTTGCGCGTGGAAATCTCGCTGTTTGAGTGCGCCAGTCTGACCGAAATGACAATCACTACTCGCCAGTGGAAGCAGGAAGATGGCTTTCCTGCCCACTGAGCTCTTTTCGCGAAAACCTGTCCGGAGGTGTGCGGACCCTCCGCTCCGCTCCGGCCAACGGGGAGTCTCTTCTCATGGGCGGGGTTGGATCAGAGAAGGATAAGGGATCGGGGGCAAGGGGTTGCGGAAGAAGTTGCCTACCAAAGCTGCTTAGTCACTCCCATTTCGACCCAGATCCACGCCTGTCTAGGGTGCCCTCCATAGCTAGAGTAGAGAACAAAACTAAAAACCAAAGTCTCGTTCTGGAAGGGAATACAGTTGCCATTTTGACGAACCGACTTTGCCTGCCTTGCCGCCTGAAGCAAAGTGCCTCTTTTTGGCGTACCCCGCTCCCCGCTCCCGCTGGTGGAATGCCTCATGACCGTCAAATCGGGCTCCGCGGTTCCCGAAAGCTAAACAACAGCCGAGTCGCCGAATGCCCCACTTGTTTGCATTGCGAGCAATTCGCTGTCTCGGTCGGACATGAAAGCCAGTGGCCCAGTGCCCGCCGCTCATTGCTAGAATTGATTTCTCATTGGTAACTCGTGACCACTCGCGGGACGCCCAGCCCAGCCCAGCCCAGCCAGCCGCCCAGCGCGGTGCAGACTGCGCGAACGAGATGGAACCATGGAACGGAGGGGGAAGGGGAATTTCAACCTAGGAATACTCTCTCATCGCTCTGAGCGGGCTGGCACTGAAAAAGCTTGCGATTTGAGGGGGAAAAAAAATAGAAAACTGAGATAGATAAAATATTTAATTCAACATAAATATAAGGTATTAATCAAAGAATGGATCTGGATGAATTTGATCAAAAATAATGAATTGTCTCTAGAACACAAAATAACTTTAGAATATATAGGCTATCAGTCGGCTGAAGAAAGAAGATGCAAAAATAAAAAGTTCTTAGCAGTTTATAAAAAATAGAGACTACTGAAAAAAATTATTCGGCACTTAAATTTTCTTGGCACAGTTGAATATACATGTAAGGTAAAATGATTTGTGATGTTCAACATGTGTCTACAAAGGCACCTTAACTAATACACTAGTAATTACATATCTAAACATGCTGGCATGCTCGCACTTCACTAACTCAAAGTCAGCATTTCAAAAACACTAGAAATGAACACACATGGGTTTTGAAGGACAACTTCAAAAATAATGTAATGTAGCTGTTCAACCATTTTTCACACATAAATGATGTTTCCACATACAAAGGAAAACATCTGCTCACAACACACAACAATAAAAAATGCTTGGTGCAGACAAGCACACACAGTGACAAATGTAAGAGATGGAAGAATTGCTTCATCCATGCAAGAGCAAAATACAAGGGATATCTCTGAAGGCAAATTGTATTTATAACAGTTTGTGATTCTTGTGTCCTTGCCAGAAAAGTGATAGAAAAAAGTGATGTAACTAAAAGGAATTAGATATAAAATAAGAAGCAGTACATAGTTAAACTAAAATTATTCAGGTTATTAACTTCTTTTAACAAATAAGGTAACTCTATCCACATTCTCTAATTTTTTAATTTGTTTTTTTAAAAAAGAGCAAACACATTTATTTTACCAAAATTACCAATATCTCAGAACATTTAATTGCTGCAGAGCGAGTTGTTGTTCTCTTGTTTTCTCAGCCCCAGAAGAGGCACCTTCTTCCTTTTTTGGTTTGAGTGACTCCAAATGCTTCTCCATTTGCTTGGTTTGAATGAGATTCACCAACTCTTCAGTAGACACACCCTTGTACGAACCCCTAAAATAGAAAATAAGAGTTAGTATTACATCTTGAAGAAGCAATGTCTAAATATAATGTGCCAAAGTAGGCTTTACCTGGACTCCTGCTTTAAAAGAGACTGGGCAGTAAGGCAGGTTTGTGGGTCAACTCTGGTGCGTTTCATGAACTCTGCAGTAAGTTCCTCTGGGGAGAGGATTGCTGATCGTAGAGATGAAGAAGCACCACGTGACTGAAACATGGAAAGAGACCACGGAAAATGGGATCAGAAAGGAGAATAAATAACAAGACAAAATGACAAAAAGAAACAGCCCAAACATAACATACCTTCAATGAAAACCACCTTTTTCTGTTATTACTGTCATTCAAGCTTGAATTGGTGCTAGATGAAGCAGCAGACTTCCCTGGGTCAGGGCTACTTTTTTCCGGTGCACTAGAAACAATAAGAAAATTTAAGTGTGTGATGATAGAAGAAACACTCACTAGAAAGCCTCTGTACAACAAACACCCATGCCTAACACCCATGAATCACAAATACCTCAAATCTTTTAACTGGCGCAATGCCATCTCACGCTCATGTTTTGGAATAAGTCTAGCATTTCTCTTTCGTTTAGCTGGTTCCGGTTTTGAATCTGCTTTCCCCTTAGCTAGTTCTGGTTTTGAAAGGGAATTCTTAACTTGACTGGCCATGTATGATGACTTCACTGGTTTGTTTTTGATATGAGAAAGTGTATCGCTGAATGAACGGCTTTCCGACTTTACTCTAATGGCAGTACCTTCCTTCTTACAATCTGATCTAGGCTCAAACTTGGAACCATAACGCTTTGCATTAATTAAATCAACTAGCTCCTCACATGATGGTCTTGCTTTAAAATGAGGCAACCTCCAACAAAAAAGGAAACTCATAAGTACACCCCTCAAAAAAACAACTGTGTTAGACAAAGATGATTTGAAGTGTTAGAAAATAGTTGTTACCTGCTAGAAAGCCGAGCCATTAGTTTGGCTGTGAAGAAATCAGATTCTGGATTTGCTGGAGCCTGCTGATCAACACTTGAATGATTAATAACCTCCTTCGTAACTTCTTCAGGAGAAAGCACTGCAGACCGAAGGCAAGCAAATCCACCTTGAGCCTGTAAACAGGAAAGAGAAATAAGATTATTTTCAAATAATGACCATTAAAAAATTTTACAAGAAAGACTGTGTTTCAAAACAAACCTTCAAAGAAAACCACTTTCTTCGAAGAAAGCTGTTACTCAATTCAGGAGTGGTAGGTAAGTCTTTCACAGACTTCAAGTTTCTCTGTTGACCAACTCCATACTTTCCGGGGGCCGATGGGCGTCCTGTGCTTACTTCATCCACAACTACACACTCATCTTCCACTTTCTCAAGTTTCGTTTCTTCAAGAGATTCTACTGCCCCCCTCACTTTCCGCACTTTAGGAGAAAGCGGAGACTGGGCAGGTGATGGCAGCAATCGTTTGCGGCTTGATCTGCTTTGAATGTTAGGACTGCAAGTTGAAGCCTGTTGTTTGGGAGTTTGTTTGGATGGAGTCCCTTGAGTTGGAGTTTGCTTTGCTGAAGATTGTCTTGAAGGAGACTGAGGCGATTGTTTCATTGCAGTCCGGTTTAATGGCGACCGTCTTGGAGAAGATTGAGGAGACTGTTTGAGTGAAGTCTGCTTTAAAGGAGGCCGTCTTGGAGAAGATTGAGGAGATTGTTTCAGTGAAGTCTGCTTTAATGAAGACTGTCTTGGAGAAGATTGAGGAGATTGTTTCAGTGAAGTCTGCTTAACTAGAGACCGTCTTGGAGATGATTGAAGAGACTGCTTCAGTGAGGACAGCTTTGATAGAGACCGTCTTAGAGAAGGTTGAGGAGATTGCTTCAACGTAGGCGGCTTTGATGGAGTCCGTTTTGGAGAAGATTGAGGAGGTTGCTTCAGTGCAGCTTGCTTCAATGGAGTCCGTCTTGGACTAGATTGAGGAGATTTTTTCAATGCAGCCTGCTTTGGCTTTACAGCCAGTTTTGAGGGGGTCGGTTTTGATCTGGTTTGTTTGGAAGGAGTCTGTTTTGATGGAGCCTGTTTTGATGTATCCTTTTTCATTGAGGAAGCTGTCAACTTTGAGCTTGACACCTTAACAGTTCTTTTGGCGGATGCTGAATTGCTCAGGGACACAACATTACTTATCTTCAGAAATCTCGGTGAGCTCTTGTGAACATTAGACGCTGCTGATTTGGGTGTTGATGGTTTCACATTAAGTGGTGCAGAAGAAATCTTCTTGGGTGAAGATCTGAGGTTTTGTCCAGAAGATACATTCTTCAGGAGCTTTCCCGGTTTTTGTTTGGGATCACTTGAGGCAGACTTTGCAGACAATTTTGCAGGGCTGCTTTTAGAAGCAACTGGTACTTTAACCGACGGTTTTCCAATCTTCTTTGCCACATTTTTCTTGTTCTTAGAAGAGAGCAGAGTAGAAGATGTCTTCTTTCTCAAAGAGCTTGAAGCCGTTGATTTTACTGTCTTTGACAGTGATGATAGACTCTTCCTGGTCTGAGTGCTACCACCCCGTGCACTTGGAGCAACAGCATTTTCTTTAGCTGACTTCCGCTTGGCAACCGCCACCCTGGTAGTCGAAGAGGCTGAAGCCCTTGTCTGTCGCCGCTGAGTCATACTGCAGTTGCAGTGTGCTGGAGGCAATAATGCACCTGGGGAAAAGACATGACATTATGACACTGCCATCAAACAGCTGAAAAGTAAAAGACACATAGCTTCTGAAAAGTTCAGGAGGGAATACAAAACGGAAAACGCGGCAAGAAGGTGAGTATTTCAATTTTCACACTCTAGTAAGGGAACAGCAATAAAAAGGGTGAAAACAAGGCAAGCAGGTGCAAGGTGCAACAGGCCCTGCTGCCGCTGCTGCAACTATGGCTAGGGGTGGGCCGTGGGCCGCACGCGGCGTAAACAGAAACTTTGGCACTAAAGCTCAGCCAAAAGGTTTCAAGGAGGTATTATTCGGAGAGGCGGAATAAAACTGAATGGGTCAGGAAAAGAATACCTCAACAGACACTCCGTGCGCGTACTTTTCTGCAGAAACAAGCGCAACAAGCTTTTCTCAAACAAAACAATCAACAATCAGGCAGCCGATAATGAGGTCTGTTGGGCAGAGAGAGAAGCAGCCGGAAATGCAGCAACAGGTTAGGAACGCAGGCATTTTTCCTACAAGGCCATGCATTTGTTGTTGCTGTTGTTGTTGTTTCGGCGCGAGGCGCGAGTATTTCAGTAAGTGCTTCGTTTCACTTTCATTTCAGTTTGATCGCTTGTTTTGAAAACTACAGTGTAGTTTTTCTTCTCAAAGTGGTGGAAATCGGTCGGGAGCTGTAGACAAGGCCAGTTATTCTTTGTCTCTTCCTTCCTAAATAACTGTCACTTTCATGCAGTGAATGGTATGATGTCAGGTTGTTTGCTCTGAAAACATGTTTGTTATTTTATTAGAATTTCTGTTTAGTGGTTCTAGTTTATGTGTGGAAAAAAGAAATAAATTTCACATCACGCTGATCTCTTTCCCTCCTCATTCAAATGTCAAATTTCTTTCTAACATAATGGGTTGGTTGAAAGGTTACTTCTAAAATGTCGTTGCTCTGTTCGTTTGTTGCAGAAGATTCATATTCACTGTCTTAAACCCCCATTTCCCCCTTCATCATTCTCTATGTCGGATAAGAAATCAAATGACTCCAAGAGTAATGGCTGGAATGATTGGGCCAACAAGAAAAATGATTGGAATATCTCAAACAGCAAACGCCCTAAACTAGATATTCACAAAAACCACTTAAGCCAAACATCATCTAATTCCAAGAACACCCTGCAAGCTGGTACTTCCACTGGCCCTGGTCGATCTGGTAGCTTCCGCAGGACAAATTCACTGCCTACTTCCTCTAGCACGTCCCCTCAGAAAGATGTGCCAGTCAACCAGGAGGAATTTGATGCTATGGAAGCAATAGCTATGGCAGAAGCAGCAGCTGCCATTGAGTTAGAAATGGCAAAAAAAGATCAGCGTAACCTGCCGTCAACATCCTCAAAGAATCCCTTGGACAAGGTTGATTTTAAGAAAAATGGCAGCAGTGGGTTTGAAATATTATTTTGTGAAGAGATTGCTGAAGAAGACGTTGAGGAATGTATGCTACTTGCATCTCAAGTATGGTTTGCCCCATTCTCTTGAAAATTTCTCTAGTTGTTTTCGCTGTATATATATAAATAGTTTTGGTATTTTTCAGGAAATTCAAGCAAGTCAGAATGCGCCTCCTGTTGCCGATTCCTCATTCTCTCAAGCCTATAATATATTTTCCAAAGGCATTGATACACATTCATCAATATTAGAACCTGGCTTTAAAAAACCTCAACCTCCCAACAAAATAACTCAAAATAATGCTGCTCATTCAAGTTTGAAGACCGCAAATGTCAGACCAACTGCCCCCCCTCGTCCTGTAACTAATCGAAACACATTTGCCCCGCCTGTACCCAAATTTAATAATGTCGCTGCTCAAGCTAGGTAAGTCAGTTAACATCAAATTGATTTGACACTAATGACTACCTTGTTTTCCATTTTAAAAATATCTCAATCATTTCAGGAATCCAATTACTAGTTTTCCAAAATTGTCAACAACCAGCAATCCTCAAGCAGGTGAGTCTTAAACTCTACTTTTTTATTTTTATGTCTTTTGCAAATTAGTATTTCATAAAGGAATTTTGACTTTCAGAAGCTGAAGTGAGGCGGTTAGAGAAGGAAAGAGAAAAAGATCAAGAAGCATTAAAAAGATTGCAGGAGCTTGTCCGAGACAAAGAGGGAGAGGTAAAAAGCCCATCAAGTGCCGTGACTATCAAATAACTATAGCCTGATGTTAACAAAATTCAACAAAGTTATTACTGCTTGCAGGCATCCATCCTTAGATGCCAACTAAAAACAGTATTGGTTGAGAAGGATCGAGAAAAGTCAAGAAGTAAGCGGAGTGCACAAACAAGTGAAAAGCAGTTCCAAGACCAGTTGAATGAGCTGATAAAGAAAAATGAATCTTTGGAGATGAAGTTAAGGTTTGAGGTCAGTCATTGTCTAATATTTTTAGTAGATGAATAAGCACAGTCAGCCTTTGAGAACCTTCTCATCACTCTTTTCATCTGTTCAAAATTTATGCTTTGCTGTTGTATGTAGGAAGCTGAAAAAAAAACTGCGTTGGAACGAGTTAAACTCTTGACAAACAACAGTGAGCGTTTGAGAGTAGTTGAACCCAGAAGTCCAAGAACAACTTCATCTCAATTTCAAGCTGCTCACTCTTCTAAGACTCCTAACCGACAGAAGCACACAAGTGCATTTATGAACAGGTAAGTTACAATAGAATCTGGCAACAGATCAGTCTGCTAATTTTAATTTATTTGACACTGTTCTTCTAGTCAGTATGTGTTCAAATGTGTCTTTCATATTTCTGAATCAAAGTCAACCTTTTTTTTTCTGTATTAGATCTACCTTTGAGGAACATTTGCATTCTCAAGCACCCTCCACTAAACGGCCCAGATTAAATGACGATGAAGAAATGCTGGATTCAGATTGTATGCAAGGAATAGAGCCAATTCCAATTCCTAAAGAAGTGCGACCTGAAATGAAAAGTGTTGGGGAACAAACATCATTTAATGATGATGGAGGAACCCTAGCTCAAATAATTACTCCACTAACCAGTATGTTACTCCAGAGTTGAAGTTTACTTCATGAATAGAATATTTTGTTATTAATTGTTTTTATCACCTTCTCACCCTCTGTATCTTTGCAGTGCAGCAGATTTTGTCCGAAAGATTAAGTGGAATCCATCTTTCTACAGAAGCTTCTAAATCAGAACTTTGGAAACATGAAGATTCCTGTATAGATGAGACTGAAACTATACCGACTTTAAGGCGTCTTAAAGAAGAGTCAAGGTCTCGAAAGAGTATGTATCATGATTATTATACACCTGGACTATGTGATATTATTTCTTTTTTTTTTTACTCCAATGTACATCTTTTATGTTTGAATGGCAGGGCGTGTGGCATTAGATGGCCCTCATAGACCAAGCTTTCTTAATTGTGCCCCAAGTTTACAACATTTAATGAGCTGGAATGATCCAGTAGTAGATTGCCTACCTACCAGAGCATCTATTTGTGAGGTACAATTGAACTGAACAATATGAAGTGAGGGATGTAGTCCCCTAATGCCTTACAGTTCACTCACATGTTCCTTTTCACCTTTCAGATAGTTGAAGAATTTTCTGGAATCTTACATTATAATCTCTTGTTACTGCAAGATATTAGTCGCCCATCAGACAAGGAACTTAGGGATAGAGATCAAGAAATTGTAAGTCGTGGTATAGAGGTTGTACCATTGAAAAATTTTGATCTTCTCGATGAAAGGTTTGTTTTTAGAAAACAACATAATCATTTATTCTGTGGGAACATTAAAAGCTCTCAGTATTAAAGAAAAATTGTTGTCCATCTTTCAGGCAATGGTACAAGGAGGAACACGGTGTTGAACTTCGGAGATCCCTTGGGATAGCATGTGAAATAGCATCAGTGTCTAAATTTGCTGCCTCTCTTGTAACAGGAAATATAGATCCAAGTGAAGTTTCCCTGAAGAGGCACAAGTTTACTGAGGTAAATTTCTTTCTTAAGGGAAGTATCTTTCTAATTTTGAGGAAACTCAATATAACTGAATAACATTTGTTATAGTTACCAGAGTATGCTTTCCTGAGACAAAGCGCCACAAGTGAAGAAGGGGATAGTTTCTACATTTTAAGAGTAATCTGTGATATTTGTACTGTTATAGAAAAACAGGTAAGTCTTACTCTCAAGGCTATGGTACGATGCCCGGGCACCTTCACACTTAATTTTCCCCGTAAAAATAAATAATTTTTCCATTCCCTTCAGAAACTTACGATTGCTTTCAACGGGGTGCTTGCTGGTATTTTGACTCTTCTTAAAAATTGTGCAGAGCACAAAGTAGTGGAAGGAAGGAGGTAAGTGAAGACTAGCATTCTTATATTCATTAAATACATGTGATTTCCCGTTCAATCTTATGTATATTTTGAATTTAAAATCTCTTTTAAATAGTCAAAGCTACTTCCTTGATGTAATACGTCGGGTATTGATTGCTAGACCATCAAGCACAGTTCTGCTTTTATTGATGGATCTTCTGATTTCTGTTAGCAATTGTGAAGGCATCATCAAAGGTTTATGCATCAAATGTGGTAATGTGAATTATGAGTCTTTTATTTATATCATTATGGTATTGATTAATTTTTAAGATGAAGCCCTTAAAATTTTCTTTTTCAGGTGAAGATGACAATGTTTTTGAATCATTGGAAGGATTATGTACTTTTTCACAAGGTGACAATATTTCCTTTACTTCTGATAGTTCCATGTTGGCTTCATTCAACCTGTGATTTTCTTTGCACCAACAGACACGTGTCCCCTTCAAATGCTCTTCATACAACTGCGACTGGTCTCTGAGGCAAACCGTTGGCGCCTTGTCGACAGTGTCTCCAGATGGGTTCATAATGTGATTGCAGCTGGTCCTGCTGCACCATCTTGGATTTTATCTGTTCCTGGCAGTAGTGAAGTTTCGCACATAGAGTGTTGTGCGCGCTTCACATCTACTCTCATTATGCTGTTATTTGATGTGTTTGAAATGCTTCAAAACATTGTTGAAGAAAGAGGTCTCCTATTCTTTCTTTATCGTTTTCGTAAAGAAAAAAGCTCTTTGACGTTTTGTGTAGACCTAATGAGATCTTATTTTTCTAGAATTACCTTCCTCTTCGATTTCTTCATCAACGAAAGATGAGGTGTTGATTCGCATTATGAGAAGAAGTATTGTGATACTGCTCAAACTTGTGGAGAATAATATGTTTAGATTCATGGGCCGTGTTGAAGGGCTTTATGAGATCCTTGTACAAGGCATTGGACGCTTGAAAAAGTATCTCCATCTCTCTCCATTGATGGGTAAGTCAGTACTCCAGTACTCAACACACCTCTTTAAATCTTTCCTTTTTAATTTTTTAATTTTTCAATTTTAGAGAGATACTTGGAAGACCTCCTACGATCAGAGGAAGACATCACATCTGAATCAATGACATCTGAAGATCCCTTCTGTGCCTCATATTTAAATAATGTTACTAATATTCTTAAACTATCATGATCGCCTATGTACCATGCCCATAAATCATTCTAGTCAAAATACCTTTCTGGCATCTTAGTGACAATAAATTATTATATTAGGTGACAGTTATTCCATGTAGTACCACATTCTCTTCTACCATAACGTCATCCAAAACGGCGTTAAGAACTCGCTCACACCATCCACTCCATGTAAAGTGGCCCTTTGTCCTTTACCAAATGCCAGCTCGCAAAGGTAAGTTTGGTCTCTTTTCCCTCTCTTCAGTACGCTCCTTTGGGAAACGCCTTGCCTTTTGTTTTGTCAGGCGCAAGTCCACCGGGGAAGGGAGGCGGCGTGGACGCGGCCGCCGTCGGCGACCTGGTGGCATGTTGGCGGCCGTCCAAGCCTCGGCGCCCAAGCTGCCGCGTCCCCGTGTCCCCGTGCCGCCGAGGCTCTGCCAGTGTCGAGCCAGTCCGTGCGCCCGCCTGCAGCCACCCTGCCACCCTGTTCATCTTGAGTCCCTCAGTCGAGCCCCGCAAAGCTCAGCCTTGCGCAGTACCTGCCCCTCGCTGCCTCGCTCGCCGTGCCGCTGGCTGCCCTTCGTCCGCGCGCGTGCCCTTCGCTCGCCCCCAGCCCTGCGGAGGCCTGCCCAGGGCTGCCCAGGCCCTGCCCTGCAGCCGACGCGTGCCGCGTGTGATGTGAATCGTGTCGCGCCGTGATCACGTCGTGACCCCCATCAGCAAGTCCGGGGCTGCCTAGTCGCCTGGCCTAGGGGCCCCGCACCGCCCCGCCCCGCGCCGCCCCACGCCGACGCCCCAGGCGTCTCTCTAGCCAGGGTGAGTGTTTGCCGCTCGGACTGCCCGAGATACATTCCTGTGTTTACAAACTCGAGCATTTCGCGGTCCGCGGCGCAGAGGCTAGGACTCGAGGGTTGACGGCCGTGCTGGGCGGACGGCAGTACGGTGCAGTGCGCAAGCTATTCGCGGAGTTGGCAGCCAGGGACCTGCGGTGCAGTGCCAGTCTGCCAGTGCCACCCCTTGCTCTTGCCTGCTCTTGCCCCAGTCGGGCCAGCGGGGTGCTGGTCGCGGGATCCCTGTGCCCTCATCAGGCCGACCGCACCCGTTACCAGACTGATTCCAAGACTCATTTTCGTCGCGGTCTCGGACCTTTTATATACGGGGTGCTCCGCGACCGCGAGCGCGGGAGAGACGGGAAACGACTCTCGTAATCTATCTGCGGCTGTCACCAAGGCTGTCACCAAAGTCGCACCCCAGACGAGCAGAACGGCCGTGAACCCGCCACTCGCCGCGCCGCGGCTCCACCTAGCCCTAGCCGTAGCTCTAGTCTGCCGCGGCCTCGGACTCCCTCGCACTCCCCGCCCTCGCCGTCATTGTGAAATCGAATTCGGACAGGGACTTGTTGGCGGCCGCAGCGTCGGACGCAGCGTGTCCCGATCAGCTGCGCGGCGTCGTGGTCGCTGGCAGGCCTGGCAGGTGGCGCCGCGCCCCGCCCCGCCCCGCCCGCCGCGCGCTGACCCCTCACCCCTCACTTTGTGTCCCCGAAACGAAACGCCCCCGCCGCCGCCCTCCCAGCGGCCCGCCTCGCCCCGCGACCGCCCGGCGCCGCTATTTTTGAAATCTTTTTCATTGCCATCCTACGCGTCGGGGTGGCGTCGCGACGTGACACAGGGCGCCCCGTCGTCGGCCCGGCTGACGTACTGCCCGCCAGTGACGCCCAGCTTCCCGTCGGTCCAAATGCGCCGATTTACAAGGCCATATCTGGCGAATGGCTTCGTACGCGACGAGGACTCGTCATCAGTGGCGTGCGCAGAAATTTAGAAAGGGGGGGGTCAGGCCACGCTTTTTGCCTACTTACAGGGGGAAAGTGACGCAATTTGCCTACCTTTCAGGCGGCTGTCTAGTGGCCAAAGGGGGGGTCATGACCCCCCTGACCCCCCCCCCCCCCCCCCTTGCGCACGCCACTGCTCGTCATTCATGGAACAAAATATAACCACGTTCAGGCAAACCGCCTGTGTGTTAGTGAAACGTTGGCCAATGCAGCGGAAATGGTGCATATTGCAGCACGTTTTGACGCGCGCGAGAAAGCGCCTGGCGGGTAGGCCACGCGGCCGCACGCCTGCTCGACGGGCCGGCATCGCGCCGCCCGACTGACTGGACTGACTCGCTTCTTGAACTTCGCTCGCCGCCTCCAGGGACTCCGGGGCACTCCAGCCGCCATGGCGGTCTCGCGGGACGGCTCGCCCGACTACGAGGTGGGCTACATCGCGGAGGACCACCCGCTGCGGCCCATGTCGTCGACGGCGCAGCAGTCCATCCGCCTGCTGCAGGTGCCGTCCAAGGGGGGCGCGCGCCGCTCCAGGACGGCGTCCATCTCCTCGTCCGTCACCGACCTGGACGCCCCCATCTACCAGCGCGAGACTGCGGGCCGCCAGCACGTAAGTCGCCTCCTTGTTTCACTGAGTAGTGCGGGAACCTCGGCCGGGCTTTGTACCTAGACGCTGTGACCGATGGCCTCACCGAGGCCCTAGACGCCGTGGCCGCGGGGTTGCGACCGTTTTTGCCGGGTCCCGTGATGCTCGTCGGCGGGATGGTCTTGTTGTTGGCAGACCGTCCTGGCGCCCGGTCAGCGCGCCCCACCTGGCCCAAGTGGCGGGGCGGGGCGGGGCGCCGCGTGGGGCCCATTGAGTTCACGTCGGCGGACTGCGGGAAGGCTAGAATCGCGTCGTAGGGGATCCACATCCAGTGCCCCGGGCGGCCGAGCGGGCCGAACCCCTCGCCCATTGCAAGGGGCGCCTTGGATGACGTCATTCCGGTGCTGGCGGCGCTCCGGTTGGCCAGCGGTGACGTCATGCTGGAGTGGGGGTCGTTTCCGTTCCACCCCCCGAGGCTGAGGGTGACGTCATCCCTTCGTCTTCCCGCCGAGGAGTTTCTGAGTGGAAGAGGTCGTTTTTGCGCTCCCGAAAGGCGGTGTGCCGGAGACGTAGTCCAGGGTTTCCAGCAACGAGTGGCCAGGCTCTCTCCGGGGTGGGTTGCGCAACGTGCCGAGTCTCCCTGCAGGCGGCCGTTGCACCAGCCGCGCTGCCACCCACCACCCCCACCCCCCGCGGCGCCGTCGCACGTTTTGGCACTGCCCCGCCAAGTACACGCTGCGCTCCGATCTGCTGTGTGCGTACTGCGTACAGTAATCCGGTCGCCAGTGTCAGTCTGTGAGAAGCGCTAAACGGCGTTAACTTACCGAGCCTGAGGCCCTGCTCACTTAGGTGGCAGGGCCAGGCAGGGCGGGGTGGGTGTGGCGCCCGCCTATTGGCACGCCATCAATTCGACCGCGACGGCCACGCCCCGCCACGCCCTACGTCGCACTTGGCTCCTTGTGGGCTCGTTGTGGTCAAGGCGTCAGACGTCGGTCACGGGAAAAAAAAGTATGATGGCACCAGTTACCCAATTAATGCTCATTAAAACTGACTCCCATTTTTCGAGTTCAACTTGGTAGCGGGTACAGCGAGGTGGTGGTAGCAGACGTCCTCTAAAGTGATGCTGCGACCCGAAGGTCGGCTCGAAGGCCCGACCCGAACCCGAAGGGTTAAGGCCAATTGGCCGGGCATTGAAGACGCGCGTACAGTCTGCGGGCCGAGCCGGGCCGAGCCGTCGGGCTGTCTCTCTCGCACCTCGCACCCCCACGGGGCGCGCCATGAGTGCGAGGGAGAGACCTTTCTGAGAACCCAGTCCGCTCGGCAGGCCTCAATGAGCGCCCGGCCGCTTACCCATTTTTCCTCTTTGCCGCTCTGCGCGACTCAGCGCCGCGTCCTGGACGTCCTCGGGGACGCGCAGCCAAGCGGCGGCCGATGGCAGTGTATCGGACAGACGCCCTGCCCGGGTAAAAATGGACACAGCCACACAATCGTGGGACGCCTAAGTGACTAATAGTTCTCTCTAGTTCAAGTCTGCTTTTTATTGTTCCCGACGAAGAACTTTTTCGAGGGTCCGAAGGAACTCTTAATTTTACCCGGGATAGGTCGGAATGTCGCTCTCTCGCGCCAAGGCGTCCTCAAGAATTCGCTGCATGATTTGCGTCGGGGAAATAAGCAGTTTGTCAAAATTCCCCCCGCAGCACGCATACATGCCAGCGTTTGTTTTGGCGCATGGCTTTGGCGCGGCTCGGTTTGCAAAAGTGACCACTAATACTCCTCGGGGTTGCGTCACCGCGTCACCGCAGCGCAGCGCCCGCCGCGGGCTTTGCGTGCAGGGCCTGCAGGGGGTGGCGGAGGGTGACGCAACCCCAACCCTGCTGGACGGCCACCTCGCGGCCACACTCCGCATTCGGCTTTAAGAAATAGAAGCACAAATTTATATTTTGAACACCTGTTATGGTAGGCTGTGCTGAAGTGGGTGGGTTCCTCCAAACTGTGCCATCTGATGCAAACTGCGGACGTGATTGGCGCAGCAGCTCCGCGCCGTGGCGATCTTCCTCCCCAATCTGACGGCGACGGCCGACGGCCCTTCGGGAAGCCTTCGGGAAGCCTTCGGGAAGCCTCCGCGCCGATACGACGGGGACCTGCAGACCGAGGGGGAAATCACTCGCGTAATAGTCGGGTCACCGATTCCTAGTATTACGCGTAATAGTAATAGCGTAATAGCCAAATTTTTAAAGATTTTCCCTATTTAGGGTCCGAATTTAGACTAAATCTGGATATTTTCGAGCGTAATAAGCCTTCTGTAATAGCGTAATAGAACGTAATAGGGAGTAGTCGGGTCACAGTTTTTAAGAGTGATTTCCCCCTCGCTGCAGACGCTAGGAAAGTGCGCCCGAAATACGGCACCCGGCTAAATGAGGCGCGACCGGACCTGACCCCTCCATGACGTCATCCCGGTGCAAGGGAAGGCGGCGCCCCGTCCCGGTTGCATCATGCACGGATGGAGTCGGTCGGGATGGAAAAGCAACACGGAGGCGCCAACTGTCCGAACCGCGGGTCGCGCAAAAGTTCCGCGGTGCGCAATAGTATCAATATTGTGTATACGAAATGGCTGATGAGCTTGAGTTAGTGTGTGCAGCGGACACGCCGCGCCGTTAGCACCTCGGCAGAGGGCGCGGGGGCGGCGGGGCGGCAGGCCGACGAACTCGGCCGACTCGTTTGCCGCGCAGCAAGGCTTAGCGTCTCCTAGGCTCGCCGTAGGCCCGGCTGTGGACTGATTCCGAGAGTCGTTTTCGTCGCTCCGTCTCGCTCGCACTCATGGGGCGTCCCGTGCGGGTGCGAGAGAGACAGAACGACGAAAACGACTGTCAGTCTGCTGGCCGGCCGCCGGGAAAGGGAAGGCCTAGGGCCCCATGTGGGGCGTGCCGCGGCGTGCCGGGAGCCACGTGACGTCGCCGCCGTCGGCGCGGCCCATTGGTCCGTCCGGCAGGCGCGGCCGCGGCCGCCACGTCACACCAGACAGGATCAGGGGGAAGGGGGACGTCGCACGGCCTGGCTATTTCCGAGCCGCGCCCGCCACTGCCCCCCCCCCTCTTGGCCCCCTCTCCCCGCCCCTGTTAAATCGTCAGAACAAGCCAAGGCTGTCGTACCTCACACCGGCCAGGGCAGGGCGGGCTATTGCGTCTCGGGGTAGGGGTTTTAGGCGGAGCGGCCCAGGCTGTAAACTCCCGCGGGTTGACGTTGACTGTGTCATCTGCGTGGGGAAGGTTAGGGTCGCTGCTAAACAGTGACCTTGAGACAGTTTTACTTTTTTTCTGCAATTCTTTTTCTTAGTGTTCGAAAATTCCCGGGAACAATCATTCAGGGGAACATTCCCGAGACTTCCCGGGAATTCCCGGGAATATTCCCACTTGGCCGGGAACGTTGCTTCATATGAAATCCATCACATTTGATGAAAGTTAAAATTTTTAATACGAATTTTTTTAATTTTTATTACAAAACTTTTTGTTTTGTTCTCTTCTGAAAGAAAACTGCAAATACACTCAAGTGATTCATGATTATTACTTGATACCTTGCACTTTCACTTCACTTTTCGTGCAAAAACTAGCTATTTTTGGCCATGTTTTAAAAATTCCCGGGAATTTCCCATTTTTTGGGTCTGATAGTGCCCGGGAACGTTCCCGGGAATTCCCTTAATTCCCGGGAATATTCCTACCCTTTAGAACACTACTTTTTCTTTCCTTTTTATTTATTTTTTTGGCGGCGGTTTGAAGTCCCCAGGACGTCGATGTACTACCCCCTCGCGAGGGACGTGCGTGCGTGTTGGTGGCGCCACCGCACGGACAGGCTCGCCGCGGACGCGCGAACGACGACGACGCAGACCTCGCCGACCTGGCCGACCACCGGGCCGCTCTGCCGCTCTGCCGATTTGGAACTTGGAATGACGCAACGTGGGTTGGAGGGCGCTTGAATGTCGCGGGGAACGAACGCGCAGTCCGCCCGGCGGGCATGGCAGGCATGGCAGGCAGGCAGGCAGGCAGGCCGGCAGCCTCCCCCGCCCCTTCCATGGCGTCCCCGCCTCGGTCCCCGCCGTCCCGACAGGCTGTCTGCCGCGGCCTGCGCGCGCACCCACGTGCTCCCGCTGGCTGGGCTGCGGGGGTGTTTTGGCGCGGCCTTGTGGCCCCAACCCCAACCCCCTGGTCCAGAGCCCCCCGCGCTCAACTCCAACTGCGTCGTTCCGAATTCCCCCGGGGGGGCGCGCGCCCGCAGCGCAGGCCCGCGCTGAGATATGGGGCGCGGGGATTCCGGGAGAGCCGCCATGTCCGCACCCCATGCGGCCTGCCGGCCTGCGGTGATGGATTTGCCTCGCCGACGGCCTCGCTGTGGCTGCACTGGAAGGGTTGACGGCGTGCTGCCCCGCGTGCACTCGGGTACCTGGTGACCTGACACTGACCCTGGTCAAGGCGGCCAGGGCGTGTCGCTGCAGCGCGACTCGGTGCACGCCACCGCACCGCAAGGCGTCCCTCGCGGACGCCCTCGCGGACGCCCTCGGAGGCGTGCGTGCCGCCAGTGCCGCGCTCCCCACCGCCCCACCCCTCGTGACGTCACAATCCGATATGGCCCCCCGGCCACCCCCGTCGTTATCGACCACCCCGTCCGCCCCGCTCCCTGCTGGGGCTGCGCCCTGCCCACCCCCTGGCTGCCGGCCGCACCGGGCCGCCCTCCCCTTCGCCGCCTCCGCTCTGCCTCCGCCGAGGCAGTGCTCGACTACCCTCCGCCCTGACTAGACCGGGAGAACCCTCTTCGCCACCTGAGCAGCGCAGCGGCGAACACCGATCCGGCATGGCGGCCAAGACGGGTACGTCCACTCGCCGCGAGGGGGAAGCCTGCGCCGCCACGCCCCCGTGGGTTGGCGACGCGCCGCGTCCTCGCGAGGCCCTCGCCGCGCCCCGCGCCGCGCGCCCTGGAGAGGCACCGTCGGGGAGCTCGGCTCGGGTCGTCGCGGATCACGCCGAGTGGGCGAG